AGGTAGAGATGTTGTGAAAACACTCTTTAATGTCAATTGGTTTTGGCTTATCGTTGATGTTTGATTGTTATTTCTACAGTTGGTCACTAGCTGCAATGATGGAGCTCAACGAATGGAGAGAACAGAGCAGATGTACACCATGCAGAAACTCATGGACTTTGGTAAAATCAAAGTAAGTTGTTTCTGCAACAAAACATCTTGAGGGGAAATTGCATATTGGAACTTCGATCACGCTTTGCATCGATTCCAATCATGCAGTTGTGATGCATATTCTGTTTTCTGACCTGAGATGATAACTTGTGTCCCCCCCCCCTGCAGCCATTTCCTCTGGTGTCGTCGTCGCGGTGGCTAAAGAAGCGTGGGGAGCTGGCCCTCTGCAGCGAGGAGCTCAGCATCTGGAGGGCCTTCAGCAACCGAAGCTACTACCTGTTCCTCTTCAACGACGTGCTGATCGTCACAAAGAAGAAGAGGTCAGTGGGATCAAATGCAGAGTTATCTGCTCACTCAATGTATGAAATCATATTAAGTGGAAAAAAACTGACATATCTTTAAAAAAAAAAAAAGTTTTTCCAAAAGGACTGTCAGGATACCTCTTGCTGAATGATAAATTGGTCCGGAATTTATTTTAATAAACAATATTAATTTAATTGTAAGACTTTTATGCCACAAGACAATATAATGACATGTATATAACATTGCATGTTAACTTTTTAATTCTTAAGAAAATGCGTAATAAATTAAACATTAAGAGGATAAAAACCACACAACAAAATAAATAAGATTGCTGTTAACAAACATTGCAGTTCAATTGAATATTAATGATACAAGTAACACCCCAGGAGTGCTGGATAATAAGTCAACAATGTTATGATAATGACAAGCCTATTCATTCTAATAGGATCACTTCATATTCATTTAGCCTCTCATAATAAAACACTAGGACAGGAAGTGATGTAATTGAAATGTAAAGCTTCTTTTACACTCCTAATTATTCACTTTAGATTCAAAAAGAGACCAGTGGGTAAAATGCAGACTGAGACCATATTTTGAAGCATTTCATGAGCTTTGTGCACTTCTCCTGCTGGACCCTGTGGACACTGAGTAGATCCAGCTGCTGACAACATAAGGAACAGATTTAAATGAGTGGAAGGGGACAGAGAAAGGAGAGAGCATGGATGTTGTGCTTGCATACTTGAGATTCTTCAATCTTGCATTCAGCGTGTCAGCTCGACAGACTATAGCTTTCTGTTTTGAGTTAGGGAGAAACAAAACAATGTCGGCACTGAGGAATACGCTTCCCACAACACTGCAGTCATTTTCAGCTTGTTAAGTGGAGACTGCAAGCCAGTCTGCTGCTATTAGCATATAACGGAATGTCGTTTGAATGTGTTAATACACTATTGGCTGGGTGGGCAAACACTTAAATTCCCATTATAGCTGTGGATGATTTAAAAGAAAATATGAGTAATATACATTTGTTTTTTCAGTGAGGAGAGCTTTGTGGTGATGGACTACGCGACTTTGGAGAATGTGGAGGTGGTGGAGGAGGCAGAAGGACGGATGTCTCCACCTTCCAAAAACAGCTCCAGCCACTATCTGTCCTTCAAGCTGCTGATGAGCAAGAACAGCGACAACAGAGCGGAGCAGATCTCCCTGGTGGCCGAGTCCAGGTACAGCCGCTCTCATCCCCATCAGCCAAGAACTTTACATAATAAGCACCGTTGTTAATATGTTTGAAAAGCTCAAGGTTTAAGTATAAGGAGTATATACAGGTATTATTTAATAATAAGGTCTGGAGAGGGAACATTTTTCTGTAACAAACTGGCTACATATCTGCAAATACAATCTCGCTGCACTAAATATTGGTGGTTAAGATTAAGGTGGCAAACTATATTGATTTTTTTTTTTTTATATCACATTCACACGCTCTCATGGCTCATGGAACATCCTTAAGGGAAACCATGTCTGATGTTTTGCGTTTGTCTCCCTCTACTGACAGAAGTTTTACTTGCAACCTTACATGCTCCTTTTCATAAAGCACTCATAAGAAACTGAATTTGTGTGTTATCAGGTGTACAATACGTTAAACATATTTCACCGTATTTTGTATCTCTGCTTCCAAGGGTGGATCGGGCACGTTGGATAGTTGCTCTCACAGAACACAAGCAGGCAGGAGTCTTAACCTGCAAAGATGGTAAGTCAGCAGGTTCTTTACAAAGGGAGGAACCCCTGTGTAAATACACCATTCCTTAAGCCTAACCAGTTAGTGTTTTTAAAAAGTGACAATTAATAAAAATAAAAATCTGGTTCTTACCTTTCGTGTGTAAATGATTAATTAGTCATGAAACTATTTCTAGTCAGTCCTATTCACACTACAGCTGCTTAGGTTTCATCTTTTCTCCAGAGATTTAAACTACAAATGTTCTATCTATTTGAATCCTGACTCAGGGTTTACAAGGTTTTTTACAAGAGAATATATTCAAATAAAAAGCATTATTAATCCCATTTCACTCTCACCCTGCATATATATGAAACAGATGTCGGACTGTGTGATCCTCCAGTATGTGCCTTGGACATCCACAGAACCATTTTTAAAACTAGACAGATGTGAAGCAGTCATTCAGAATTATACATATTGGTCCAAAGGCAAATGCACAGAATTTTGGATAACACTCAACATATTTGTTTGATTAAATAAGCAGTCAGAGAGCACAGAAAAATGCTAATTGCCCTCATCATGTACTATTAACAAAAGTAAAGTGTGTATCTACTCTATGAATCAGATTTGTTCCAATATGTAACGGGTTCTTCCTTGGCCTTCCAACACGTTGCAGGGACATCTGATCTATATTTTTGTTATTCTGTGACAACAAACCGCTGATACAAACAAACTCTTTAAAGAAGTAATACTCTTGTTTAAAGATCTACAAGCCCTTTTGATATGTCACTTTCATCATTCGAACTACCACCTTCACAATCACCATTCACAGAGGCCGTTTGCATAATGGCTTTAGTCTCTCTCTCTGATTTCACGATCAAAGGGTGTGTCTAGGGTGCATGACACATTCCAGGAAGTGATGTGTTTAGACATTGTGTTCAGAGTACAAACAATATGGTTTTTAAGGTAACACTTAATCTACAAAATAGTCATTTGTCTCAATTACTCACCATATCATCTTTTAACCTTGAAGAAAACGTTTCTTAAACAGGAAGCAAAGAATCAAAAAATTGAGAAACCTTGATTGGGCTGCGTTCAATTACAGCACACTTGATCAAAACATCTTAACTAAATCTTGTTCTCTTTATGCAGTAAAATACAAGTTTATTTGATCAGTTGTTTGTGAACTAGTTCTTAAACGCATGCATTCTCCCTGAACCTCACTATTTGGAACACGCCAGGACTCGCACAGACGTGTAGATCACCTCTGAAAGCTTCAGGTTGTTTGTGTTTTTAAATAGTATGTTTTAAGCGAAAATGCATGTTTGGGAATTAGTGAACAAATGACGGATATACAATACTACGATTTTAAGTTGTTTGAGTGTGTAAATCCGTTTAGTTTGTTTGGCTGTTTTAAACCTGGCTCCCCTTTTGTGAAGGATTTTAGTTGTGTTTGACGTGAGGCATGTAAATACAAGGTAACCCTAAGTAATTGATGAACAAATGTCAATTATGCGGATGAAGTATTATGTTATGTCTACTCCAAGAACCATGTACAAAATGCTGTTAGACAAAGACTTTAAATACAGAAATGTGATGTCTTCCATAAAAAGCTTTGATTGTGTGAATCACATTGCATTATGGGAATGTGTTTCAGGTCTTCCACAGTATGAGGCCAACAAATCCTACATGCCAAAGGAGCTGGATGAGTTGGGGCTGAAACAGGCTGAGCTTGTCATCTTGTTGCAGAAAGAGGACGGTGAGTGTGTGCACATACTCTCATAGCATCATCTTCAGACCTCCGTGCTCATCACTACAATTCATATTAAAACGAGAGTGCTAAGATGGTAACTTTGGTCTGCTCTTCCTAGCATGGTGCTATGGGGAGAGGATGCGCGATGGAGTGAGAGGCTGGTTTCCTGCTACCTGTGCCACAGAGATCACAGACCTCATGGCCATTGAAAACAACATGCAACGTATGAAGCGCCTGCGCAAAGAGACCAATGTTTGAGAGATGGACAAAATAACTACCATTGAGAAGACTGGTGACGCCCATTATGTTCAGTTATTAAGATTGCATTGTTTCCGTGTCGTACTGAACATTCCATGACTAAATGCTATACTACCTGTTTACCAGGATATGAAAAGCTAAAATAATTGCCACCTATGTTGTCCTGGTACCAAGGTGGACTACGTTGAATACAATGTGACCATGAGGGTCCTGGGTTGATTCCAGCCAGCTTCATGTTACCCTTATCAGACTGTCCAATCCAATTATTTCAAAATATGACTATCAGGATGACAGTGACATCTCAGACTGGTTAAAGGTATTTTTGTTCACCTTCTATGTATGTGACCATTAAAGAAAGAACTTTCCACTTGTACAGCACACCCATTTTATTTCCTTTGTTGTGAATGTGAATTTAAAACCTACTTGCTGTTCTAAACAATGAACCTGAAATACAGCCTGGGACTTTTAATTGAAAAATCTAAGAGCACCAACATTTAAGTCTACATGACACTGTCCCATACCTAACAAGTTGGGTAACTGGATTTTATGCTAAATGTTGGTTGGATTTCTTACATCCCGTGTATCACTGCAACATGTTGTGTAGGTTTCTTTATTAAATGTGAACCCATAATCAATGTAGAAATATATATTTACCACTATTAAATGCAGTTTGACATACTGCTTTGGTTCTGACGGTATTCATATTTGAAAAGCAAAAACACTCCCAACCTAACCGTATACTATGTAACTGAAAGATAAATTAAGTTGGTGTCATTGTTCAAAGCCAATATACTTGAAATATAAGAATAAAGCAAACACTTGAGACAATGGTCCTGGTTTCTGGATTTTTATTTGAGCTTGCATTTTGTTAAAATGTTTGAATACATAAAAAGTTATTTAAAAATGTCAAACTGACCAGATATCAAATTCTATTTTTTCTTTAAAAACCATTTGGTGTAAAAACTTAGGACAGATTTAGAAAAACATTTGCTGTTTCCCCAAAACTTTTTGTAGCTGTCACATAAAAATAATGGAAAAAAAAAACAAGTCTGCATAGATTCTGCAGGCAATCGGTGGTAATCTGGTCAAATGCATGGTGCAAGCTTGTGACGATCGTCAAGTCAAATCTTTATTGCTCAGATCTTGTTTGATGTTTCTTCTTGTTGACAAAAAAACTGCAAAAGAAGAAAAATAGTAAATTAGTTCTGTATGCTGTTTTCCAGATGGCAGATATTGCTATGTAGATAAAACAATAGATGTGTCCTTGATTCTGCACTAAATAGCCTTAGGGTGGAAACGACTGTCTAGCTAGCCCAACTTAGCTCTAAAATGTTGGATTTATTGGAGAAGCTATTAACTCACCCGGACGATGGTAAACGATGGTAGGTGCCGGTGGGCAGGTTGTTTCCTACTCAGCCCCACCCTGCTGGGCCTCGGGAGCGGACGTTTTCTCTGCAGGTGGGTCACCTCCTGTCTTGGCCTCCTTGTTTTCTGGGCCGGGTTTGTCGCCAGCCTGTGGACGTCTGCGGCGATAGTTGAAGTTGCGGCGATAGCGACGCTGGCGGGGCTGTTGGTTTTGACCACCTTCGCCTCCCTGATTCTCCTTGTCCTCCTCGCCTTCCTGTGCCGGTCTGGGGCGGGGTGGAGCCCTGAGGTGAACAAGTAAACGTTACTTTAATGAATTATACAATAACTCATAACTTGGAAAAAAATGTACACAAGCAAAATTTGAATGCACAGCTACAATTTGAGGTTGGGCTTCAACAAAGGGAGAGCTTTTCCATCCAAAACAGGAGGCATTTGTTTTGGGGGTTTTTCAAGCTCAATTGAACATTTTAAATGTAGACAGCCCATTGCTTTTCTCTCCCGTTGTTAAAGCATTTCGCCAATGAAGCCAACACGCAAACCTTGGACTGAACCTTGGTTTGAAGCCTCTGTAGTAGCTCTGCCTCGCTGGTTGTTTGCCTTGATCAGGACCTCCCTGGCTCTCGTCGCCCTCGCCTCCCTGAAATCAAAAAGATCAAACCACTTACACGCAGCTTTCATCAAAGATAACACTGGTCTAACTGAATATTTGTTATGCAGTGTACAGGCCTTTGGAAGGAAACTGGCCAGATTTCTACTTAATGTTGAGGCTGATAACAGATTTTGGTCAATTTGCGAAATATTGGCCAGACCCCCGATACACCAAGATTCTTTGCTCACAACCACGTGAATGTTGAAAAGAGAGGGTGTTGTGTATGACAACATATCAAGTGGCCCGAGTGGGACTGCTGGGTGCCTGCTTCAGGATGAAGCCCTGTGACGGCGTACCTCAAGCATTTCTCCACGTGGTGCGTTAGTATACGGGCCGGCGGCCGTAGCGTCTACGTACAAAGTATGGAGGGTAGCGCCGTCTGCCGGGATAAGCGGGTCTGCGCTGCTGTGGCTGGGATTCTCCTTCAGGGGCGCTCTCTCCCCCATCTCGGCTGCCTTTTTCACGACCTCCGTTGCTTGGCTCACCCTCTCCGTCACTCTGGTAGTTGTCTGGATATTCTCCAGCGCGGGGAGGGCCCCTTCTTCGGGGATAGCGCCTGAAGCGGTTCCGGTCAGCAGCGTACTTACTACCCTGGACTGCACTGCCTTCTGGGCCGGTGACATTTGCCGCCTCTGCTCCCTTTTTGAAAAAAGAATAGCAAAAATTATAATCGAGGAAAATAATTTATAAAAAAATGTAAGAGCTAAATACTGAAATTATTTTTTTGGTCAAACAAAGCTAGGCTTACCTTTTCTCCCTCAACTACGTCAAACTCCACAGTTTCTCCATCTCCAACACTGCGAAGGTATTTTCTCGGGTTGTTCTTTTTGATGGCTGTCTAAAAATCATGAACGGTTAAGATGTTAGATTTGATATTAAAGATCATTTTAAATCATCATTTAAGAACCACTACCTAAAACGTACCTGGTGTACAAAAACGTCCTCTTTTGTATCATCCCTAAAAGATAAAAGGAAGAAAAACCCTCAGTTACTGGAAGTAAGGAGCATCTTGTTACAGAATGCAACAATATATCTGCTTAGGGTTAAGTACTATGCATAACAACAGCCTTGAGACAAGCAGACAAATGGTCTGGTCAGCTCTGTAAGCAAATCAAAGCGATAATAGGATTGAGACTGTTCCTTCACACACAAGAGATGATATCAGGGTCTTAAGGACATGGGGATAGGGGTGGAGTCTACTTACCTATTGATGAAACCATATCCATTCCTGACGTTGAACCATTTGACTGTACCCAAGACTTTAGTTGCTGCAATGAGGCACAAAAAAACAATTATTAACCAAGCTATGGTAAGTTATCTCAGCCTGTAGATACTGGGAGTGTAAATGTCATGCCCCAAACATGCCAATTCATGTTTCACAAGACCTCTACCAATGAGTAACAAATAAGGAATCAAATAACAACAGATGCTGAAAAAACTAATGGCTGGATAATGTGAGAGTTATATTTAACTCCCAACTGTCACTCTTTTTATAGGTCGTGATACTTGTGGGTGTTTAGTGCCAGCTGCACTTGGTGTGAGGTATGAACCAAGAGCATTATGATTCAGAAATGACTGCGCTTATTCACATGCAGAAATGTAATTTCTCAGCCAAATGATTAATGCCTGCGTTTTATAGAATGCTGAAATATAGCATATCAAAAGATATATGCTACATTAGCTGTGGTACATAGCAAGTTGAATGACTACAGACCTACTGTCCCATTTTAATCCGCACTGCTCAGTATGTGAGCGTTCACACGTGGTAGTCGCGCCCGGATATGTTAGCAAGCAGCGAGCCCAGCTGGCTGGTTAGCATAGTTGCTAACGGGGTCTCAACCATGTGCTTGGATTAAAGCCAGCAAGCGGAAACTACTGTAGCACAGTGTACCATGTATTTACAATAAACCATTGGGTTGATTTTAACTAAATAGGGCGGTGTTATGGTGGTTTATGTTTTTCATTGAACAGGCAACTTAATGGCAAAAGAATTCCGTGGGATCCTACGGCGGACATTTTGGGTTCCTCTTCAGCCATGTAAATAGCTAATGTAGCTTCGTTAGCCGACGAGCTAACGTTATCATCCTGGTAAGTAGCTAACTCTAGGCCCCTGCATTAGAGCGAAATTCGACAACCGACAGTTATATTCCAATGTATTTATTAACCAGAATCGCTATGAACGTTTTGCCAGGTCACGTTGGCTACGAGTTTGCTGATGTGTTACGAGATTTTTTGAGAAAAATCTACTAACGCGGAACCATCCGTTCCGTGTGAACAAAGGGACGGCCAAGAGCTAACGTTAGCTTGCTTTCGACGAAAGTAGTCGTGGCCGGCTACATTAGCATTACGAAATAACTTCGTGTGCCACCATGATGCTTGATATACATTATCGCTATCGTGTAACGCCAACTGATTTTGCCTAACTTGTTTGTGTTAAGAATGGCACTAACGTTGGTGTGGAGACCAGAGTCATTAAACAACCTCAACGGTCGTTCCTCTGGCGACCAGTCGGTAACATAGATTTCTGAGGCGGCTGTTTGAGGTTAGAAGGCCGGTGAGCAGGAGAGATTAACCGGTTGAAATGCAGGATTACATCTAAAATCACTGTTCTGACCTTAAATGTATGTCAGTTTGACAAACGCTTACTGGTGTTAATCAGCTATTTAATAGATTACCAAGCATTGGATATGTACAGGTTGCTACGATAACCAACTACCTACATTCCAACTGTCATTTTTTTATGTCTTGTCTGGTAGGGCCATATTCTCTTCTATCTATTTGGTTTCCTTTGAGATAAAAAAAAAACTGCTCATCGTCAATATCACATTCAAACACTAACGTTTCTTTATCAGACATCTGACACGTTGTACATTATCAGTAAACCAAAAAAAGCTATTTGCCGAAATTAACATTTAATGTATAATCTGCAGATTTCCCCTATGATCGTTGATGGGTTTATCAGAATGTTAGCGAGGTTTTTCAACCGTTAACGGAGCCGGTGATCGGTTGGTAACGCTTGCAACTGCCGCTTTTGCGCATTGCCTCTACGGTATCCCAAACCACGTTAGCTAACTAGCTCATTTCCAGTCTTACCGATGACCTTCTTATCCACCGCGGAAGCTTCGGCTGCCGGGCTCGATGGGCTCTCCGCATCGGCAGCGGCATCGGGCGGCTGTTGTGTCTCGGCCTCGCTGCTCATGGTTACTACTGGTTGGTAATGGCTTCTGCCGGCGGCGGCTCTCTGCTATGTTTCCCGGTGCTAGATGGTAACCTGGGCCGGCGGTGGTGGGGGCTACTGCCTTGGGGCTCTCTGCTTTCCTCTTTCCGCTCCCGTTGCCGATCGAACTGGGCAGAGTGAGATGGTGTGCTGGGGAATGTTCCTGCTCAGGGACCCGCCCAAATGTTCTTCGCATTGGCTACGAGAAAGCCAACGCGTTCCTGTTGACCGAAGCAACTGTCAATCATATTTGAGGATAATCTGATTGGCTAAAGGGGGATGTACCTGTCCCTTCTCACCGCCCCACAGTGATGTCAAAGCCAGACAAGTCAGACAGATAACCGTGACACTTTTGGAACAGTGTCTGCAGGGCTGATGGTCTTTTTACCGGATTTTTACAGAATGTTCAAGTACTGCAAACCGTGATAACTACAAATATTATTACACCGAAAGTATGGTAGGGATCACTGACCTAATTTAAATAAAACATAACATGCATATTTTATTTGCGGATCATGATGTAAATAGTATATTTATATTGTGCTGCATTGTCTGAGTTGCCGTGGTAGTGCCCCCAATAAATACATGATGCCTCGGAAGATTTACAAGAAGAGGTCATCTTGGTCTGCGGCAAATAACATAAAGTTCTCACCAGCCTTTATACACCCTGTCAATGTCGATATCTGTATACTGTAACACAGAACAACATAATTCCCATCTTCATACACAACAGGGAATTTCTGTAAATAATCAGTATTAAAGACGACATTTTTTACTATTTCGTAAGAGATTAGCCACAATCATCAGTTGACAGTATTGAATAAAAGTCATTTCGGGACACGCGACACCCACGAGCCACGATGAACAATAACCAACATATTCTTTCATAATGTATTAACCAAGCACATTTGATTGTGTCTTTTATATCATTTACAGGGAGGTCATTTCAAATGTTGTCCGACCTGCTGCACATGTTTATCTTTGATTACATTTGAAAGGTTCACACAAGCTGAAAGCCTGATGTTATAATATATGATTTGTTACTTTCTCATTGCCTTGCTCAATAAAATGCGGGCATTATACCTACTCCATTTCCAGTAGCGCAGAACAGACGGACTCAGGCTGATGAGTGTGAGACAACGACAACCCCCCCCCCCTAACCCCCGCGAAACCAACCAACCCATTGTCATGTTAATGCTCCACTGGCACTGTTTATGAGCACTGGCTGATGTGTGAAGAGCTCGATGTTAATGGCTAAACCCAGTTCTCCCACACAAAGATGGGCTTTAGCATTGACCCCAGAGAGCCCCCCCCCACTCTCCAAAAAAAAAACTTCTTCCTGCCTAAGAACAGAGTATCCATCTGAAAGGATTCTTTTGTGCCTTGGGAACGAAGTCCAAGGCAGAAGAGGGAGAGCGTGGATGGGGGAGGGGGTCTGGTGGCTTTTATTTGTATGGATGGCTGGGATGAGAAGAGGAGGTAGCCATAAGTTCAGCAGAGGATTGCTTGTGTGTGCCTTGGAGGACCCTCGTGCCTTTGACTATATAGTGTTTCCCTTATTTGCTTCCTGGCAACACAGCTGAGATGAATTATTACCAATTCAGAGTCGAAGTATTCATCGTTGCACAATTCCTATATGATCATTTTGATCTATTAGCAAGCCCAACACAAAAGACAAAAATATGTCGAGGGGACCATGAGCATATAAACCTACCAAAAACAATGCATATCACACTGGGTATAGCATGATAACATAATTAAATGACATTTTGGATTTCAAAACATGGACAAGGACTAGGTTTTGCAATACACATTTAATAATATGAGGGATTTCTCATCTAAAATCAAAGGGCCTGATAAACTAATAATAATGCTAAGCTTTTTGTAAATTGGTCTCCTTTCCTATTATATTGCACACATGCATAGTTTGACTTGGGGTTAAGAGAACTACAAAAAAACACTTGATTATCATGCCTTTTACAGATGTAAACGGCATATTTTCAAACAAACAAGATGGTTTATAAAAATGTAAAACTATTTATTGATCATAAATGATACACCGTGAGATTGAGATAAGAATTTGAACGTTTGTGGAGCAAGTATTCCTTTACATTTACATCACATTTTCTTATCTGTCTTTTTATAACAAGATGCAAAGATTGTCTCTGTTTGGACTGGGAAAAACAGTGTTGAACATAAAGTTTTGCAAAATAAATGTCAAACCCTTATGTTAAGCAAGTCTTAACCTGGAATCATGTGTATTAAAAAATAAATGCCATTATAATGTACTGCTGAAATCCTGTTCTTCAACATGCATTATGGGAGAAGGCCGAGGCAAAGAAAGCCTGTATGGTTTGATGTTAGCAGAGGACAATCCAGTGACTATGAGACGCTCCTTCATGTGTACAGAGACTGTGTAGTTCCTGCTGGATCACATCTCTCCACACTGTCCAATGAGGATGGGCAGCTTGGGCTTGTTGTTTGGTCCTGTAGTAACATTCTGTTGGCGGGAAGAAGCACAAATAAAAACTACAGTCAGCTAAAAGTCAACTGAGACATTGCACTTGGGTATTTTTTGAGTATATCAAAAATATTTTATTAGTAAATAATTGCACTTTAAAACTATAATTATTTTTTTAATGTAGCTGTTAGTTTTTAGTTTAATGTTCTATAACATATTATGTATTGTAGGTGTCTATGATTGGGTATCACTTACATGTTGGGTGCATGCTTTGAAATAGTTATGTCTGAAGTGAAATTGTTTTGATTGGACAGAAAATAACTAAGTAGTGTAGGCCTTTCTCATGTTACAAAGTTATTGTAAAGCACCCAGTGAGTGACACCATCATGACTCGTGTTCGTCCACTTACGATTCTTGCCAATTAACACGGATATATTCAAATTAAATTATTGATGTATTATTATTGATTGATGATGTTGAATATATAAATATTATCATGAATGTGGATAAATACTGTATTTTAACAATACAGTATTCTGTTTTTCACATTTGTTATTTTTTTTAATCCGTTTGAAAATTATGTATTTTTACCTCAATTTTTCTCATGATCAGCAAACCATCGACCACTTTGCCTAAAACAGAAAACAAAACAGTGTTACTCTGGCACATCAAGGTTGTCCTCTAAAATAAATATAAAATGAATATCATGGACTTACTCACCAAAAACAACATGCTTCCCATCTAGCCAGTCGCATTTAGTGCAGGTGAGGAAAAACTGACAACCATTTGTCCCTGGCCCACTGTTTGCCTGAGTAAGACACATTATTTAGATCAAATTACAGTGTTATTTATTTGTTTATGTTGGTCAGCGTTCATTCTAGTCAAATTAATCATTCAAATCCTATTGTCTAGAGTGGATTAATCAAATCTTAAACAACTTCTTACTTCATAAATAGAGGATACACAAAATGTTTGCAGGAAACACATCATCTTGATATGGATGAAGTTAAAGTAAAGAGACCCTTCCTGATTCAACAGCCATTAACTTCTAAGCACTGATCAGCATACATACCATGGAGAGAAGACCAGGTGCGCTGTGCTTCATTCGGAAGTTCTCATCTGCAAATGGACCTCTGTAGATGCTGCAGATGCCAGTTCCATCACCCTTCACAAAGAAGACAAAACATGGTACATAAGATATAGCACACAGAATAGAAAGAGGAAGCCATCCAAGTTTAGAGGTGCTGTAAGTCACCACATGCCTACCAGGGGGCGGAATACTACATTTTGTCCTGCTCAAGCCAAAGCTGCAGTTCATGCTAAATAAAGAGGCGAAGTCCCGCCCATCTACTTCCGACCCATGGGACCTTATTTCGGAAAAATTATGTATTGAAGTCAATGGAGAGAGAAAGATTGGCTTTAGATCCCGTTTGAATTGTGCCACAATTCCTATGAGAGTTGCTCATTGGCGCGTGAAGACAAAATGGCCCAACTTTTGAGAGTGCAAAACGTCACGAAAGTATTCATATAATCATATAATCCGTTCTTATTGTGCATCCATGGGTAAAGGTAAAACTCATGTAGTACTGAATACGTCACATGAACGTGCCGGGCGGCGCGGTCCCGTGGGTTAGATGCTTGTTCATAATGCTGAGGAAAATAACTAACGTTATTAGCACATTTTACAACTTGAGGACCGAATGTTTTTAATAAGGGCTATACAAATGTTCATACTGGGTAGTTTATTTAGGAAAAAAAATTCCAACGATTTACAGACGTCTCTTTCCCAATGTTAGTCATTGGGAAAAAGTCTTTCCGGGCCCAGCGACTGATACGGAACTGTAGTACCACCGTTTGGCCACAACGAATATTTTCCTCAGAGTCCGGCGCACTTCCTGGGGGCTTGGGTTGCATTCCAATAGTCCATTTAGCTTAGGAACCTTCCTAACGGAGTGAAATGACCCGGAAGTACGTCAGTGACAGCCATGATAAGTGCCGTTCCAATTCTCCAAATGAAAGGAAAGGAGGTTTCAAACTTCCTTTATAACCTCCTTTAGCCTAGGAACCACTGGACCTCCCTAACCGAAAGGAGAGGAGAAAATGCTGCCCCACAATGCATTGCAGCCGCAGCATTTGCCGTCACTCAACAGTCGGCCGTTCACGGAAACAACCGATTATGACCGAGAAATTATATCATGAAAGTTACGGTGCTTATTAAGCATTTTAAAACTTATGTGGTAAGTTGCCAAAGTGCTTTTTTCTGAACGTTCATCAGTATTATAATTAAAAAGAGAAATATGAACGTTAGTTTTGACTGAAATGATCAAATAAAGTCAACATCTCACAGTCTTTACTGAGCTGTGTGGAGTTTGTTCAACTTTTAAAAGATGTTTGAATGGTGATATACACAGTGATAGATGTTAAGGACTAACATTTATAATAAATACATTTGTATTGATTTTAAGATATTTCCATAGTTCATACAATCATACGTATTGGGATCATTTGTATTAATGTGGACCGGAGGGAGAGGGTGACGAGCATAAGTTTCACTTTCCTTTTTTATTTCAATTCCAACTTTGGTCATGAAGAATATGTTTCTCTGTTGTCCACGTTCATAAAGCATAAAGCAACAGCATCAGAGCACGGTGCAGAGTCTCTAGATGAGTTTACAGTAGTCCCTCGTTCTTATTAAACATCCATGTTGTAGTCCGCTGT